TTTCTTTAAGCTTATACAACAACCAAATCACTGACGTCGGAGCCAAATATGTTGCAAAACTAATTGAAGAGTGTTCAAGCCTTGAATATGTTAAGTATGTTGGATTTTTTTTCCTTTCTACATTATCCTAATTAAGGTAAAGCAACTTGAAAAGGGAGAAAGAGTAGAAAAAAAGACAAAAATGGTATTTCAAATAAAATATAACTTAGGTTACTGTGTTATATTCTTTTACAGTAATCTAGCAGCGAATGGCAGCAGGTACAACTTTGAATCCGTAGTCTTTTCTGGAATATAGTAGCAAGTTAAAAGAGGCTGTGATATCTGTTCTTTACCTAAATCCAGTCTGAGAACCTGAGCAAAGTTTAAGTGGTACATGAACCTTGCTGCCCCTTCCAATAGGCAAAATCCCTTGGATTTAGTACCAAGCTTTTTAATATTTGATCTTTTATGGGCCATTGGAGTCAGGCCGTGCTGGTGTCATATCTCAGCTCTGGAAGTCCCCAAACTCACTTGATGAGTTGTTCTGTTTAATTCCTGGAACTTCCCCAGGTAAGAGTGTCTGGACATGCACAACACTGGTTTGACACAAAGGTAGATCATTAACCAGTGCTTTAATTGTGACCATAGCAGAAAATAGAGGTAACTGCAGCAACGTCATTGGTTGGTATGAATGTAGTACCCAGCAGCCAGGGAACCTTGGGCTCTAGTCCTTGTCTGCCAAGTGACTCAGTCTGAAGGCCCACACTAGCCACATCCTTCCCACTTGAAATATTTGCAGAGTTTTGAAACCCAAGAGCACTTTGATTCTTTCACTGCTTTGACTCAGTGCTTTGATTATTTAATCTAAATTTCACAAAAAATCAGTTTGAAAGATGGTTACTTTCAGGGTGCAAAGTAACCTCAGAGATTATTTTGGTATAGGAGTGTACGGTCATGTGCCTGAAGTCAGTCAAACAAGCCAGTTTTATGTAAATGTAGTAGCTTGAGGTGTTCTTTGTGTTTGGTTTGTTCTTTACATCAATCTATATGCAATTATCTCTTCCTTGTGAACTCCAGCCATTTGATACCCACATAGACTTAAAATAGGAAAGGCCTTCCATAGAATGCCAGCCGGAGACACTTCTGCACTGACCTATGCCACTGCCTACAGCCTGTGCTTTGAAGAGAAACACTTGAAATGCTTGAAGCCTGTGCTCAGCTTCAAGCTCCTCTGGAACCACACAATCAATAAATATTCTTTTCCCTGTGGCATCGTGAAACATGCACCATGTAATTCACGAGCTCTGTAGCAACTGCTGCTGCTATGAACTATATTAAAAACTAGGCTGGGGTCCTTGCCTTGAGGATTGGTTCCTAAGGCTCATTTCTAACACACTGAGCACCAAACCCAAGATTCTACTGTAATACTTCTGATTTGGAGGGCTGACATGCAAAATATGCAAAAGACAACATAAAATGATGTCTGTTAGTCAAAGGCCAAGTGCCTGCAGTATGTTTTTTACTCTAGGTTAATCTTTGATGACTGTATCTAGACTCCAGGGTTAATTAGCCTTAAATACTTGTATGGCTTTCTGAGCTGGTGTTCTAATAGCTGTACAGTTGTAAGTGATGGGTCTCATCAATTCATGTATTTTATGCAGAATAGGAGCAAACAAAATAACTAGCGAAGGAGGGAAGTGCCTTGCCCAGGCCATCCAGAAGAGCAAGACAATGTTTGAAATTGGGTAAGTTCAGTGCTATGGAGCACAGCTCAGGGCTTGGTCCTGGCAAGGTATCTGTAAATCCAGTAGGATTCTTTTTTTCATTCTTACCTTCTCTCCTCCTGTTGTACCTTCACCCTCAACAGCAGCATTAGAACAAATGAGTGTAGAAGCATAGCCACATTTTCCGCTCAGAGAAAAGGACAATGTTTATACAATTCATTGTTCATACAATGTTTTGGGTTTTGGTTTCTTGGTGTTTTTTTCATTGTTCTGGCACAGAACCTCAAAGGAGAGACATAAATAAGAGGACAGTATGTAAAGATAGCCACTTCCTTCATGGTAACACAGCTCTTCTACACATATTAGGTTATTTTTAAGTATGTGTGGTTTTATGACTGTGGGCAATGTACCTAGTTATTGAATGTCATTGTTACAATTGTCAAACTTTCTGCATCATGCCCTGATTAAGTTGTGAGCTGGGGAGAATAAAAAGAAATTCACAGCATCCTTCTTTCTCTAGCCTGTCCCTAACTGGAGAGTCTGCTATTCTTGGAGGGAGGTTTGAATGTACTCCAGACCTTTAGTTCCTGTCCTCTTTCTCAGGAAAGGTGCTAGACATGAAGGTTTGATCTATTTTTTTCACCCCCTCTGGCAAATCCCAGTTTCTCTTTCCACTCTACAGAAGAACATATTTTTCAAAATTTAATACTTGAATTACATGGAATTAAAACCTCTGTTAGGCCATTGTGAATGTCACAATAACCCTGAAATGTGAAAATCAGAATTGAACAATGAGATTTTTGGCCTTTAATTTTGTTATTCTACAACATTTCACAAGTACAGTGAACAGCATGCACACTTGGATTGTCACAGAGCTGGATCTGCTGTGCTATACTTGCGGTAATTTCAGTGAAGGACTCCTCTTTTCTCCTGTGGAGGAAATGATCACTCCAAATGGATTTAGGACAGCTTGGACAGAAATGTTTAAACAGATATATTCAATATTTACATAACAAACTGCCCTGGATCCGAAGGACAAGGAAATTCTGGGGAACTTACTGGAAGTCCACGTGTTTAGATACCACAAAGCTCAATTGATTTTAAAAGAGCTGCCAACTAATTATCCATCAAGCTGAGTATGGCTCTGAGTCATCAAGCCATGATCCCTGGGAAAAAAAAAACAACTTACACCTCATCAGAGGTGCTTTCAAACCTCAAAATACAGGGTGAATTTTCAAAGTGGTTGGTCGAAGAGAAAGGATTTGATCAGATAATGCTAGTAAATGCTGATCAAATCTCTGCAACTTTTACCACGTTACCTTCTCTTAACCCTTTGTGTTACCAAGGATTGTTTTGCCATTGGAAATACTATTCCTAACAAATGTGTGGAAGAGCCCAGGGACATAATGTCCTTGAGAGATTTTGATCTTTAGCTTGGCAGCTGTTGGGAGAGGAGGTGCCACTTGGGTATAAGGCTGGAGGGACTGTAACCATTTTGCCAGACTATTCTGGAGGAGAGGAGGAGCTTGTAGAGCAGTTCATTTCAGAAAGTCACCCGTTTGTCTGTGAGTCCCCATGCAGTTGTGCATCTGGGGAATCTTTCCCAAGGCCTGTCCAACAGGCATCAGGAAAAACACAACCAGGGTATGGGGAGGAATTGCTGAGCAGGGTAATGATAGGATTTAGGACTTGGTGTATTTGTCATGGCAGCCTGCTGAGCAGGACCACAAGACACCTTTACCCCATAAGGGCACAGGGCTGCAGAGGGTTTTTCCAGTGCAGTAAGGTGATCCCAAAAGTACTCCTGCTGCAGCAGGCTGTCTCCTAGAGTTGCTTCTGCCCTGTGGCCTTAGGGTACTGGTGAGTCACCAGAGGCTGGTGGTGAAGTGTGCACAGAGTGGAACATGCCTGGCACAGCGGGAGGGGTACCTGCCAGGTTTCTTACAAGCCTGAAAGACTGTGAAGTAATCAGGGAGGAGGGGAGAGGAGAGAAGAAGGGAGAATGCAATGCCAAGGGTCAGTAGGGCAGCACAACTGATGTCTCCTGGTTTCCTTTCTTCACTAGGATGTGGGGTAATCAAGTTGGAGATGAAGGAGCGAAGGCATTTGCAGAGGCCCTAAGGAACCACCCCAGGTTAACAAATGTGAGGTAAAACACCAGCAGAGCCAGGCAGCTCTGTGCTGTGGCTTTTCCATTGTGCTTTGAAGCAACAACTCTTCCCACCAAGAGTTAGCTTGGGATGTCATCTGGTATTGCAGCCTTTGCTGTGTAACTAACTGATCCTGGTGCAAGCAAGAGGCCAGATTGAGTCAAAAACCCCCATGCAGCCATTAAGCAAGTTAAAGATTCTGCAGGAGTATCATCCTTTCCTCTGTCTGCACATCTTGCCCTCATGCTGCACAGAGTTACTGGCATTACCATGTGTTAATGCACATGGTCAGTGGGTGCCATTCTGATCTGGGAACACTAGCAGAAGGATGCACCAGCTGTCACAGAATTGGGCTCCCATTGGGCCCAACATTAACAGTTTCTGTTGCAATGGTGTAGTAGCTTGTGCTGAAGTAATTTTTAGGTGATAAACTTGGTAGGGACTGGGACATTCTTACATTTGGGCTCCTTCTGTACTCCAGATGCTACAACACCACATGTTCAGAGCTAACGAGATGTAATTCTCACTGGAGTTCAAGTGATGCATCTCAAACTAGCCCTAATGCGGGTGAACTTGGAAGCACAGCACGGGGAGAAGTCAGCAGTGCTAAACAGCCAATCCCCTGGCAGACTTCCAAACTCTGGCTGGGGATCTGAAGATGTGTATTGTAGGGGCTGCTGCTGTTTTGGAGTCCTTCCACACGGCTGGAGCTCTAGGTTCATGGTGACTCTTTCCATTTGTTCCCAGTTCCACTGGCCACCACGGTGAGGGAGGAGACAAGGCTCCTTAGTTTCCCCACAAGGTGGCACATGGCACTAGTTTCTTGAGAAATACTCTGGGAGTTTGGGGATCTCTGGAGAGCATACTGCTGCCACTTCAGATCCAGGAATTTCAGAGCTGGTGCCTTGTCCTCCTTTCTGCGGGCGGCTAGCCGAGCTTAAAAATTAAAAGCTGAACAGGTGCAGTGACCTAGATATATTTAAACTTAAAAGCTATCCGAAATAGCCATCTTCCCATAATTGCAAAATCCAGCCAGATGCATCAGACTTAAAAGAAAACATTTTGAACTTGAATCACAGCTGATGAATTCTCAGATGAGTGCAAATATGCTGATGAATGCGTTTGAAGAAATAAGGAGGAGTAACTGTGCTCTTTTGAGCTCAGTTTTGCTGGCATTTGTGCAGGGTGAATCCTCTGCTCTGCAGTGCACTTGCACTTGGGTTCATTTATCTTCCACTGGTTAATCTTGCTTCATGATTTGAATTCATAGTTAGCACCAGTGGTAGCTTTATGTGAAGATTAAGGGAAGATAATCTCTACTACATCAGTTTACTTTATTTGCCATTTTTAGGCCCAGTCATGATGGGCTGAGAATATCTAGTTTGATCTGAAGCAAGGGGGGACTCCTGCTAATCTACACTTGTGCAATTCCTCTACTTGGTTCCTCTTTCTGCCTTTTTTTTTTTTGAGACCTTGCATTATTTTGATGAGGGAGATGCTTTTTGAACTGTGAAAGCCTGGAGTATAACTTTAACAGGATGATTTTGCCAATGTCTATTCAAAGAATGAAGGGCAGACTAAGAAATGTTTGTGGTTTGTAATGGAAATCATTTACAAGCTCACCTCTCCATAGACAGCAGAAGGTGTTGTATTTGGAAGAAGAATGAGGTATTTGGCATCTGAAGGACTTAAAGGACAAAATGCCCAGCTCGCACAGGGACTTGGGATGACAAATGCATGTAAAAACCTGTGTACTGCTCAGCACAACTCTTTGTCCTTTTTAAAATTCATGACTCAAAATCACTGGGTGCAACTCTGCTGTCAGCCCCAAGAGCCCGACTCACTGACAGCAAACCTTATGGCCTGTATGATAGACCTGCAGTCAGGCTGCAGCCTGTGAACTGTTCTCACTTGTAAAAGTCGTAAGGACTTAATGGTTTGGGAAGGATGAGAGCCTTTGAAACACACAAATGCTGAGCTTTACAACTGGGAAGCAGGTCATCCAGGATACTCACTATTGTTTGGCGGTGGAAGAGGTAAGTGATGCTGTTTCTTACACATTTGTATCTTTGCTTCACAGTCTTGCTTTCAATGGCATCACGACAGAGGGAGGCAAAAGTATTGCTGAAGCTATGCAACACAACAACTCTGTGAGAATATTCTGGTAATTGACAGTGTGGTCTACTTTCTTCAGAGAAAACTGCAGCCTAATTTTATTTCCTCCCATCCCATCACTCCTCCTACTCTCCCCTCCTCCTCTCCCTCCCCTCATCCCCTATGCTTTCACTACCAACAAGCTGTAAGATATCCCTTTGGAAGAATGTGGATATGAGTAATAAATCTGCAGCTCCTGTCCTTTGGGACACATTCTGCCGACCCAGTGTAATAGTTTGCTCAGCTCCCTTCATCTTGTTTTCCCCATCTTTTTTTCACTTCCATCATCTAAAGTCAAGTTCTTTGCCCTCAGTTTTTGCACCTCTTCAGTGCTGTCTCTACCTCTTTACCTTTTCCCACTGCACTTCATCCACCTTTTAGACACTAAAGCATCATGACAAAAATGTCATTAGAACATTGCTCAGAGAAATAAAGATCTGATACTCTTGTCTCTTTTACCTCCAGGGCTTCTCTTCAGTGTCTCTTTGTGTCCAGTCTTTACAAATTGCTCAGGGCAGGAACAGCACATCCCCCTTTGGCTGTCTAAAGCTAAGTCACAGACAAGCTGGAAAAACAGGGGGTTGAAAAACAAGACACCATCCTAAGCAAACATTTTCTTACCCACTTAGGTTGACCAAAAATGAGCTGGATGATGAAGCAGCAATGAGTTTTGCAGAGATGCTGAAGGTCAACAAGAAACTGGTGCATTTATGGTGAGTTACATTCCACAGCGGCACAGGCTCTTTGGCAGTCACTGCATTAAAGCTTCACCTTCCAAGTCTATGTAGGTCACAGTAAGCTTTCTGTGCATGGTCTGGATGCAGCTGAGTGGTTGTAGACAGTTCTAACGGAAAGTTAATAAAGCTGCTGTCTAGCATTCTTGAACCTCCTTTCATACAGGGAAAAGTTTAAGCTCTTTATGTGTCCTGCTAACTTTGGAACTACTGGTTGATTTCATCTCTCGTTAGGGGAATAGTACTGGCCTCAAAGAGTTTCAAAAAAAGACAAGCAGACAGCTAAAACAGAATAATGTTGTTATGGTTCTTACTATTTATCATCATACTATGAAAGCAGCAAGTTCAGGTCTTACTTTTCAACCAAGAACCTACATGACATATACTTAAATACATGTCCCATTTGCCTGATGTTTTCTTGTAGGGTTAGCAAGACACTTGTCTCTAAGGCATAAATCTCCAGGAAACCAGGGATTATTTCTAGCAACTTCCTCCAGCCAAAGCAGGCATAGTAATTTAGATACATGTCTTTCTCATGGCTCAGTTTCTGCCAGGGTTTCTGCCAGTAGATAAATCTATATCCTGCTTTGTTGGTTACACCACTGGATACCTCCAAAAGGTAATGACCTTTATAGATAGTTGAAGTTGAGACAGAAATAAAGTTTTTTCCCAGTAGCTGAAAGAATCTACTGGATCCCTTTGCATTTTATTTACCAAGTGCAGAAAGTCCTTTGATGGGAATTCCTTCCTGCTTCCCTCCCTCCCTCCTTAAGAGATTGTTCAATACATTCCAATTTTCAGGCTCATCCTGAATCCTGAGAGATTCATGCAACCAGTCACATGGAATGGTACAGCTGTGAGGCTCACCATGGTAGCCTGAAAGGTGAATATGAATTAGACTAGGCTGATGTGTATTTTTCATCATACTCATTTTCATTATACTCATGCAGATGAGGGGGTTTTGTTCATTTTTAGCTAGGGGGATGGTCTGCAGTAGTTAATAAGAGTTACCTACTGCTTCATCAGCTGTGCTGCTTGAGGATCTTATATATCTTTTTTATTTCTTTAAGCTCAGATGAGACAAAATTTGTAGCTCTTAAGTTGTCTTCACTAGGACTTGGACCTGTTCATACCAGAGTCAAATTCATTGCTTTAGTTTTCAAAGATCTTGCTGGTCTGAGAAACAGGACAGGAGGATTTGGCAACCTCTGGACCATAACTTCTAAAATACTAGAACTGTACAGGTTCCTTAGTCAGAATTTTCTGTACATCACTTACTTTAAAGTGTCTCACAGTGTTCTTAGTAAGAAAACAGAGCTAAGAGGTTTGTCTGTCTCAGAGAATCTATATATCACAGTCCCATACCACTAGTAAGCAGTTCATACCAGAAATTTGTCAGCTATGTAAGTAGGCTCAGTATCTCCAGAATGCAACCACATGCAAGATTAAAAGAAAAAGGCTAATACTCTGGACTCTGTGAAAGTGCGTGTGGAGCATTTGACCAATACTGTGTACCATTCTCACAGATAAAATCACCACCATTTCTTGTGGCAGACAGCTTTGCTCCTCAACATCAAGCTGAGCATAGGTTGTGCATGCCCTGCAAATTAGTTTGCATGTTAGTTTGACATGAAGTGCTTTCTTTTTAGGCTTATCCAGAATCAAATTACAGCCAAAGGGGTGAAGTGCCTCAATGAAGCTCTCAAGGAGAACACGACTATTAAAGAAATCTGGTAAAGATCCCTTCCTCAAAGGCTCCGTTTGTAAACTTTCTTTCCCATTAAAACACTCCTGGCCTTACTGCTTTCCAGCCTAAAAAATTCAGAGCAAGTTTATGTGAGGCAGGGGTTGTAGTTCCAGATGTGGATTTCAAATAGGTAAAAAGCCACTGTCACTGAAAAACTTTATTGTGTGTTATGAATGTCAAGCAGTTTTCTTAGTTCACCTCTGTCTGTACCACTGATTTGCAGAACATGTGTGTTTGCAGAATGTTGGTCCTAAATGTATGGACCAAGTTTTGTTTGTCTTGATTTATTTTTGAACTTCTGAACATGTTCATGCTTTTCAGGACCTAAATCCCCACAAGCAGGAGATGGTGACATTTAATCAGCATTACTAATTTGGTTCATAGAATTTGTGCTTGGTTTTTCTTTGGGCGGTGCTCCAAATACACTGAAAGTGCTAAGCTACAAGAAGATTAACTTTTTGCAAGATTTGTTTGTTTTAGATTAGGTGGGCATCACACAGTTGCACGTGTGCATTTAAGGCAGAAAGCCAAATACCACATTCCTTCCCTCACCTCAGGGAGCTCAGGAGTCAATAGAACTGAGCTGGTTTTAGCACGGCTGCTTTATTATTGAACATGAAATTTATTTTTAAATATATCTATTTGTTTTAGTGAAAGGACACTGAATTCTTGTGTAGAAAGACAGTGACTCACTGTCTGTCTAGTGGGTTCCCTGGAGATGTGGAAGAGGTGCTTTTTTTCAAAAGCCACTGTCAGCTTTTGTCTACAGAAGAGGAATCAAATCCCACTCAAATCATTCTGAGTCTTCGGACTGAAATCTGTCTTTTGATTCTGTCCTGAATGTTCAGAGACATTCATTAACCCCAGTAATTTCCTAAGGCTATAGGGTTTAACAGTTTTCAACATTTGTGAATGTTGCTGAAAGCAGCACTTAACCAGGCTGCTCATTTTCAGGGGTGTAAATATCAAGGTAGACTCACTTTACGCAGCCAGAGATGAAAATTTTGCTATTAGTCATTTCACATTAATAGTGTCTGAGCACTCAGCAGAGTTCTCTTCCCATATTGTGGTGGAAGACACAAAATGCTCTGAAGGCTACTTAAATTTCTTTAAACTAGCCCCCTGCATGATAAGAATATTTACCAGCTATATGCCGCTTGCTGAAATGCAAACAGATGTGTTTCCAACACTGAGTTTAGTCACTGGAGTTTAGTTGTGTGTTTGGGTTTTATTTCCTAAGAACTGGCCTTGTTCCCTGGCTGTGCAGTGGGAACAGCAGTGCTGTAGTCAGCCTATCTGATGCTGCTCCCCAGTTGTGTGCCCTTGAGAAGCATGCAGCTCACCTGTGATCTCTGCTCCAAAACCTTGCAAGAATAGAAGATGGGCAACAGCCACTACCTTACTTTCACATCCCTTTTATTTTTCCCCTTTAGTTTGAACGGGAACCTGATAAGCCAAGAAGAGGCCAAAGCTTTTGAAAACGAAGAACGGATCATTTGCTTTTGAATGAGGACATTTTGACAAGGTTTTGTTAACAAAGGTTACTCCTACTCTTGGATTGCAGAGTTTATAAAGGCATAAATCTACAGTGCTCATGGCAGGAGAGAGATACACGATTAACTGCCTTTTTATGAAAACACTCTGCTCCCTCAGCTCCATCCCTTACCCTGCTTGTTATTCTTAATCCTTTTGGTGAGTGGGAAGTTGCCTGGGTAAATAATTAATGCTAGTACAGTGCTTTGAAGATGAAATGCAAAGTGTTAACGGACTAAATCCACTGGCAGGTGTATGCATTTTGATAACTGAGTTTAGATTTATTCTGTACAGTGATGTAAATAATCTCTAACTTATTTATATACATGTATATACATATATACAACTAACATATATATGCAAGAAAGGGTGCAAGATGCACAAACTCCATCAGCTCACAGTATTACCTGCCTCAGACCTGAAAGTGAATATACATAGCTTTACTTGAAATTGTATCTATAATAGTTGCCTAGAAATTGGGCTCCTCCTGCCTAGAAATTAGGGTGTTGTTCCTCCAATGACTACAGGCAGCATTGTAGACACTGGGTTTTTTTGTGGTGGTGCTGGTGGGGTTTTTTTGGAGGGGATAGAAATCAGGCTCAGATTACTGAAAGTAATCTTTTTCTGTGTTGAAGCCAATCCATTTTCTTTTATACAACCCAAAGTACTTACTGCCATCGCTGTAAAACCATAAAACTGGCAGTAAACCACTTCTGCTTAAAATTTCCAGAGGGCTGCATATAGAAACCGCTACCTCCTGTTTTCAGTGTTTGTTCTGGGGAGGGGGTCTGGAGATAAATGTGAAAAATTAATTAGCAGGCTGTTCATTGCCTTGGCTCTTGGCCTAGACACTGTGCTGGTGGCAGCACACCAATATTACGTTGCCCAGCTTCAGTGGGGAGAAAGGACGATTGAAAATCAATTGCGTCAAGTAGAAATCCCTTCTCCCAGCAACATGTAAGCACACAGAAGGACTGAGATTTGCTTGGAAAGCTTTTAGCCTGTGCTTGAATTTATGGAAACAGCAAGGCAAGGGGCAGGTACTAGTAATAAGGACTAGCAAGAAAACATTATCCACCCCCAAAAAAATAATTACTATTTAGGGAGTGTAACTATAGATGCTCTTAAAATAAACCAGTTTGCAAGGGAGTGGGGAAGTTGATTATTTTTGTGTGTGTGTGCAAATTAAGCATGCTTTATAAACTCAAATTCTGCCCCACAGTGTAGGAACCTAAAATGGAAAAGCATAAGCCATTTTCCTTCCTTCTCCCTTGTTACCACCCCCCCTCAAAACTCTGAGAAACAACTCTTCAGTTGCTGACTAACTCACAAAACCTTGGTAGGCTGGAAGAAGAATCCAGTTGAAATGCTCAACCAATGAACCCTCACCTTCCCATCTCCCAGATCTGCTCCATGAAGCAAAGCATGAGATAAGCCTTGCGTTGTAGGTCAGAGCACATCCATTTCCTACAGGGTAGCAGACCTTTCCCAGCCCAGTTCTGTCTATTGCCTTCACCTCCCTAACACATTTTAAAATACTCATAAAGCTTTTCACAAAACCTGTAGTTAAAAGGAAAAAAAAGAAGAAAACCACCTTAGTGTTAGTTATTTTTTCTTGCCATTTCCTCTATGCCTGTGTTATCAACACTGATTTTTCACAGGGAGACGGATGAGGTTTTTAGACCATGCCAGAGGAAAATCAGCTAACTTGAACGATTTCTACACCTGAGCCATTTGTTTACTGAAGCAAAAGGGCACACAGTTACACTTCAGCTGGATTTCAATTGCCAAACATCTGCCAAAGCAAAGCTTTTAAAGACTTCTCAGTCCGTCAACAAATCTGACACCCATGTGCCTTGTCAAAATGTTGTGTTTTGCCAGCCCACTTGGATGGGAGGAGATCCTGATGCAGGAAGGGCCTTTGCCAGAGGTGTCATTTACCTATGTTGGAGGGAAGCTCTAATCACATAATTATTTGCTCATTTACCAGGTAGAAAATACAGTTTAAAACTCCAGCTTCTGTCCTCATTTCATTAATTGACTGAAACAGCTCTCCTGAAGCTTTCCAATGCAGACACATCTGCCCTGTTTTTAGAGCAGCCTTTGGTGCTGTTGGTAGCATGACAACCTCAGCACTGTTTCAAATCCTGTCCCATACCTTTGGCTGTTAGAAGCCAGACATCCAGGGGGTGTTTTCAGGGACAGCAGCAGCTAAATGCAGCCTCGGACTAAGCAATGGCAGGATCAAATCCAGCTCCATGTAGGACAGAGTTTAGCACTGATTATGGTGCCAGAGATGGTGCCAGTTGTAGCCACTCATTTCAGAGGTGATTTTGGGCTGCAAGGGCTCTTTTGGACTGGGCTGAAGGTCTGAGCACAGCTCAGTCTGGATTTGACAAGACCAGTAGGTTTCAGCACCTGTCCTAACTCACCCAGAGCAGAGGGTCTGCTTCACACAGCACATCACAACCCTGGGGGTTGTGCAGGGGAAACTAGTTGCTGCTCTGGGAGCAGCCAGACTTTCCTTGTTTATCAGCACAGTGTTCAGGCTTTAGCTCTTCCTTCATAGCCTTACTGGACTACTTGTAGAGCACATCGGAGCGACACATTTGCAGCTTGCAGGAAGAGCCTTGTTTACTCGGATTCAGAGACAGCTGTAATGTTTTTAAGACTTGTTTGTAACTTGCTGAAACCTTCTCTGTATGCCGCGTCATGTTTTTCCACTCGTCCACTGTGATAATAAACAGCTTTTTAAAGAGCAAGTTGCCTGCAAGTGCTTTGGCTTTGCTGAAGCACTGTCAAGCAGACTCTTGGCAATGCCAAGATGGGACAGTGATTCCCTAACTAATTCTGGCTGATGGGACAGAGGAGGTGCTGCAGCTGGAGTTGGCCACTCAGGGCTGCCACTGCCCATGAGGGACCCTTCCAGAGTGGGTGCCAATGTGGTTGGGGCAGCGAGGGAAACCACGATGGTTGGCTCAGGGACACGGTGCTTCCATGCTGCACCGCCACAGTCCTCCTGCCACACTGACTGCAGGAGCTCTTTGCTGGGTTGGAGCAGGGTTCTCTTGAGGGCTGCTGTGTTATCTGGCACCAGTAAGCTCATACAGCTTGTACCAGCCAAATACAAAATGTTAACACCTCAAGCCAGTGAATCTGGCCATAGCAGCAGGTGGGAATGCAATGTCCCACTCCAGTCACGCACTGCCAAGTCTTCAGGAAAAGATGCTTTTCCGACACTGTTGCTGGGGGTCAGAGCCCAGTTTATGACTTGCAGGGTGGAGCAAGGCTACACAGCCTCTGCTCTTCATCCACAGCGAGCGCAGGATGCCAGTCCCACCATCCCATGCTGCAGGAGCAGCACTGATGCCAAAAGACAGCAAGACACCCACCACCTGCTTCCCTGTAGCTTCAGTCTGCTCTCTCACCTCAGTTCGGCAGAAGAAAACAGGAGCCTACTGCAAAGCTGTACAAACAGCTGCAGTGGAGAGCAGAGGTATCAGCTGGGCAAAAGGCAGAGAGGGATGAGTGTGCACGAGGAAGGAGAGGTCACTGCAGAGGCCGCTCAGTTTTCAACTGATGGAACAAATAATCTCAGTAGGAAAAAGCTGCAGCTGTACACAGCTACCTTGGCTGCTGCTTGAGTAGGCAGAAACTAAAAAGCACAATTGTGCTAGATGAAAATGGATGCCAGGCTGGGAGCTGCTCACTGCACTTGGGTGCTCCAAATTTACTCACAGGAGATGGTTTCTCCTTGCTTGCTGGGGCACTCACTTGCTCTGTGAGATAGGTAGGGCTTCTAAAAACTCATTTCCCTGAGTGGGAACAGTGAGAGGATGCCACAGGTGCTGGGGAGTCCCCCTCTTTCAAGCTGGGAAATTGATGTTTGAATCCCCTGTGAATCTTAACAGTGCCAAGGTTAGCTTGTATTCATTCTCCACTCCCAGAGGTAAATGAGAGCTGAGGGCATGAACTGCAAAGGTTTGAAATAACTTCCCCCAGGTACGCAGGGGGACATGAAAGCAGGGATGATGTTTCAGAGAAAACAGCAGTTCCAGCTTCAGGAGCATCAAAGCGTGAGAGGTCACGGCAAGCAGGTTAAGGAACAAAAACTGGTCTTTAAGTCAGCTGGGGGCAAAACCTACATACAGCCACTGCTTTCTACTGGGAAAGTGGGGCATGTCCTGTGTCCTTGTGCTGCCATGCTGTAGGGAGTCCCTGGGTGACTGTGCTGGAAAGCAGCAGATTTTGGGCAGAGCTGATGCCACCTCACCCACCCAAGGCCAGCACCTGCAGGAGCCAAGCAACACATTAAGGTGGTGGTACATAAATTCTTGCCACGCTGCAAGCTGCTGCTGGCACCAGTGCTGCTGGCTGGGAATGCTCCCAACAGCTCCAGGAAGCTGCATGTAGTGTGGTGCAGGTGAGCCTGGAGAAAGATGTGCCCAAGAACAAACCAACCCTGGTGCAGGAGCGTCCCCTTTGCTCCTGCAGGGCAGAGATCCAGAGCTCCAGCTCCAGCAAACCCTTTGCAAACAACTAAATTATGCCCAACCACTTGTGTCTGGGGATTCATCTTATACACTGAAGGCAGCAACTTAATTAGCTGCTAAAGCCTCGCAAGCCAGGAGACTTGGAACTCACAGACTGGAGCAAATGAAGCTGTCAAGCTTTCATGCTCCCATTACCTGCCAGACTCTTTAATCCTGAGTTTAGCAGATGTTAATCCTAACTCGAGTGGTTTGTGAAGAGGAAAGCTACTCCTTTTACAAGTCACCCGGGCCTGCTGAGGCAGGGAGCGTGTGAGGAGACCCTACTGTTGGACAGGGCAGGACAGCCCCTATGGTGACTGTTCTTAATGACAAAACCTGATGGGGCTCGGGCAGAGGCTTGGCAGCTTCGTTTTCCTTCTGTTTGAAGCCAGCTTAAAGAAGCAACCGGGGGG